AAAAAAAATATAGATAATAGTTGATATTTTATAGTGACTTTTTGAATTTTTTTTTATTAAGAAACCAACTTTTCAAAATAGGCTCAAATGTTCAATTATATCAAATTTCAGTCTCACTTTTTATTAAGGGTTTGACTTTTTTTAAGTTGGTAGCTTAATTTGAGGGAACGCTTAGACTTGGTAGGCCTATTTTAGAACCAATTTCAATGATTTGAGCCGTTTATTTTTTTAGACTTATTGAGTAGAATATTAATGTAAAAAATCGAGATAATTAGATATCGATAGCTATATGCTTGAATCATATTTGTTTTTTTAAAAAATACACATGAAATAAAATTTCAAGAGTAAGCATTCATTTTTTGTAATATAAATTTAATTCAAACATATAGTTACCGATATATGATTATCTTAATTTTTTAAATGAATATTTTACAAAATGAGTTCTAAAAAATAAACGATTCGAACCATTAAAATTAATTTTAAATTTGATCTACCAAATCTAAACGCTTTCTTAAATTGATGTGGTCAACTTGAAAAAAGTCAAACCTTGTTATTAAATGTCAATTAGGTTTCATTTGGAAACAAATTATTTTAATAATTTTTTAATTTTTTATAAAATAATGTGCAGAAAAATAAAAAGAGTGATATGATAATTTATAATAACTTTTTAATTTTTTAATTAAAATATATAATTGACAAACGAAAACTTAGTAAGTAAAAAATAACACTCCATTATATCAACTACGTAAATACCCGTTATATAAAATAGTTCCCCATGTGTGAATAGCATATTGGAATGGTATCATGTTTTGTTTAAACTTCAAACTCATATGGAATACGAGTTACAGCTTTAGAACAAATCATTAATTTGAAAATATGGTTTGAAAAGTTACTCAAAAATAAATTTCATCCACACGTACATGTTCAAATAATTTTTTTCCAACTTGGACTAACCCATATTGGATAAATAAGTGAGCACTCTAAATTTAAGCTAGTGTGTAAATCATGAATTCGAGTGATAATTCGTCGACACAATGAAAAATGAACGGAAAAGTAAAAAATAATAATAATAATTTAACTTGTATGTCATTTAGGGTGTGTTTGGTTTGTATTTTGAGATAAATTTTTAAAAAAAAGAAATTTGGGTAGAAACTTTAAAAAAAAATTTGGTTTGTTTGGTTATAGAGTTTGAAAATAGTTTTGAAGTTTGGAACTTTGGGATGATTTAATATTTTGTTTTAGTTGAATGGATATGTGTGAGAGAAAAAATGATTGAGAAGGAGAGAGGAGAGAGAAAAAGTGATTTTGAAAAAAATTTCAAAAAATTTGAATAAAAAAAAATTTGAAATCTTTTTCAAAAATTATATCTTGAGATACAAACCAAACAAACCCTTTATTATTCCTTATTTTTTTTACTTTCCTTCATAACTCTCTCTTAAATTCTTGATCCAAATGCAATCTAAAAGAATGGTCAATTTAAATCAATTAACTGACAACTGTTTGTAATATAAAAGAGTCAAATCAATTTAAATTTAAAATTTAGGATACTTGGGTCATAAGTCTAATTTTAAACTTTTGAGACAATAACCCAAGGTTTATTCTTTTGGGATCAAAAAAGAAAAAAAAAAACAATTTGAAAAGATCATATTACTTTTATCTATATTTGTCTATCTGTCAACGTTACCTATTTGTTTAAGTGTCATTTATCTGTCCACCTACTTATCTTATTAATCTATCTATCTGTACATATCATCGTCACCACTAGTCGTTACCACCGACCGCTGCTAATGACTTTTTTAGCCATTTTTCCAGCAATTTTTTTGACATCGATGACTTTTTGGTGTCGACGATAGTTTGTCAATGATCTAGTAGGATTGGAGTAAAAATAAAAAATAAAAAATTTCAAAATAATAATTTTTACTCGTCAAACAATTTCATTAATCATGTCTTTTATCTTCATAAAAAATTAATCTTTAGACCTAATACCATATCCCACCACAAAAATTGACTTATCACTAATAAATCCTAAAATTTATTTACTTTCTCAGCTGAGCTTGGACAATCAAATGCTCAATCTTTGTCCTTTACAAGGCTACATTAAACCGTTTAAGAATCAATAATATTATAATAATTATATTAAATATAGTATTATTGTTTAAAAATGGATCATGTTACAATACCGTCATGTTCCAGTAACTCTTTCTTCGTCTTCTTTTCTGATTTGAAAATAATAATAATTGAGAGGGGAATTTATATGTAAATTGGGCCGAGTTGGGCCATTGTTTTACCTCCAAATGGAACAAAGACATGAAACCAATCAAGTTTTCTTGTGATAAGCAAATTTCTCTCTTGCTTGGTCATTACCTCTGATGTACAAATACATGATAATGACATGCTGCCTTAAAATTCTTTTTTCTTTTATTTTAAATTTTTGCTTTGAAAAAAATGGATTTGTCATTTAATAGACTTTGTCTTGATGCATTATTCTTAAAACATTTTATTTACAATTTTGTGTTTATGTTTAAGGAATTTAAAATTTAGAAACAGAATATGTCTGATTTCTATTTTGATTTTCATAAAAAAAAAAAAATGTAAACTGTTTACAAAACTTATTTAATTAACCTATACGTATAAACTATTTGTTTTGGAAACAAGTTTTCGGTCATTCCTCCCTTCTATACTCTTTATGGCTACCACCCATTGTTCATCATCATTGTTGATATACCACTGGCCATTTTGCGGACAACACCATATACTGGCATGTTTGGTAGAGTTATGGGAAAGTAATTATAACTTATACCTTAACAGCTCATACCTTATAACTGTGAATATAAGCTGATTTTTGACTTATAAATTAAACTTCTCATCCCCCACTCACAGAATAAGTTAATTTTTGACTTACAAAAAGCTATAAACTGTATTGTTAAGCTAAACCAAACATATCAAAATAGCTTAAATTAAGTTAAAAGTTGAAATAAACTAAAAATAAGCTCTACCAAATAGAGTCACTACCTTTAACAAGTTTCTCCTCATTTGATACCACCCTTAGTCACTATCCTTATTTTCAAAATCCGTTTTTATAATTGTATTTGTATACTGATTATGTTTTTGCTTTTTGTCTTTTATTTTTATCAAAAAAATTAACATAAACATATTTAAGTTTTTTGACAAATAGTAATTCAAATATCACTTAAATATTTGATTCCTCAAACATTTTTGTATTCCCGCCTTTAAATCTTTTTGTGCAAAAATGACATAGCTAACAATAGTGCTACATTAGTCCAAAATTTAGACTTACTTTTCAAATCTAATAATATGACAGTCTATTAAAATATTTATGACAATTCTCTCTTTAATATGTTCTATAATAATCAATCAAATATATCTTTTACATATCACTAAGAGATAAGTTGTCTATTTACTTATTTATTACAAATTATCACATCACCTCCTTACTCATCTGTATATTTTTATAAAAAAAAAAAAAACCCATTAAATAAGTCTTACCCAAAAAAGTGAGTCTATAAAACGGAGTTCTATATCATTTTCCGATGGCTTTTGTACGAGTGATGTTTGCAAGAAGTTGATATTTCTTGACCCAGAATTACTTTTTTTAAAAAATGTCGTTGACTGCAAAGGCCATGAACCAAACAAAGCCTTACCTTACCTTACCTTTCCCGTTGGGGCCATTACGTCCATCATACGCACTGACTATTCAACAAACAAAATTTTCCAGAGCCAAGACCAGTAGTTGTTGATTATCTCTCTCCCTTGGAAAATTCCCAGAAGGTCATATACTTTTCTTCTTGAAAACAATTGCTCTGCTTTCTTACAAAATTATAATATCATTATATAATTGTGTTGGCTACATATTTTGTAAAAGCCAGTTACAGTTCGACACGTGACAGAGTAAGGGTAATAAAGGAAGGTTATTCAAGCCTTCAATCCTGATCGTACACGTGGCAATAAATATTGGTTCTCACATGATCTGAGCAACACTAGATCAATAACGGGATGCAAGATAACATAGCTTCAACGGTTACTCATATTCAAATTCAAATTATATCAATTTGTCCTGTAACATATATTACAGATCAGATTCATTCGAGTTGAGAGTGATTAGGAAAATGATGCTCTGCTCCTTATTCACTTCTTGTTTGTCAAATGAGCTCCAAAAAGTTGAGCCTGTGGTTGGTTGAATAATGGCAAGGTGAGCCTGAAGGAGGTTGGCAACCTCACTTTAGTTCAAATCATTCTTGTTGAAATTTTCTCATTTGACTTATCAGGAGAAGAAACTGATGGACAATATTCGCCAATATCAAGTTCCACTGCAGAAGTACATGGCCATGATGGACCTTGAGGTGCCTCTTTAGTCTACATCAATCCCCAGTTGTGAATTTGAAGCTGATTGGTGCATATGTGTTGTGTGCTTAGATGCTGCTTGAATATGAATTGATTTTGTTTTAATTAGCATCTGGAGGAGCATTTACTCTCATACTTATGCTAATTTTGATATTTCAGTTACCCTTCAATCTTCATTTCCCATATCATTGTAATCTCTCTTGTTCTATTCTTTTCCCAATAGTTTTTTTAAAACTTTTTTTATACCCCTTTTCAGTGTGTGTTACAAACTGCTTTTTTAAAATTTCTACTTGAAAGAAGGGATTCTTGCTTTAAGATACTAGAGAAAACAAAAGTATGTAATTCCATTTTGTTTTAGTACATAGATAATTACCTTCCAAATGCATAATTATTTTTTTTGTTCATCAGCCAAATGCATAATTAATTGTAAAAACCAGAAGGTAGAGTATTTACATGACAGTTTTTTCAATGGTTCCTTGTTCGCATTAGTTATGGTACTAATCTAATACATATTTATCTTCTTCCTAGGTATTAATTGGAATGTGTCTCTATCTATTAATAGGCAGGCATTTAATTCAGATGGCCTGTTGTGGCAAACGCCTGTTAAAATGCATTTGTAGCTAATAACAAGCTTAATTTTTATCAGGGGGATGGGGATACCTGTTGGAAAACTGGCTCTGTATACAGCACTTGGCGGAGTTAGACCTTCTTCGGTAAGTGTCACCAGCTAATCATATACAGTTGTAGATGCTCATTTTAGTATATCTTATTTGAAACCTTTACTTCAGTACCGATGAAACTGTGTTAATATGTGTGTTTAATTTTCAGTACTGTGTCAAGAAGTAAATGCCATGCTTTAGTTGTCAGCTTGACCATATAATATTGATTGGTTTTAGCGCTATCCTCTCATTTTTACCATTTTAGTAACGATCTGTTTACTTGCCTGTGCAGTGTTTGCCCGTAACCATTGATGTGGGGACAAACAATGAGCAGTTGTTGAAAGATGAATTCTACATTGGGCTCAGACAAAGGAGGGCAACTGGGAAGGTCTAATAGTTTTAGCATTTTATTGTGTTTAGTTACAAGCATTAAGATACATTATGTAATTCTCTTTAATACTGAGGCAGTTTTGTCAAATTGTATTCCAGGAATATTATGACCTTCTTCATGAATTCATGACTGCTGTCAAGCAAAACTATGGTGAAAAAGTACTCATACAGGTGGATTTGCATCCTTAATCTGAAAAAATTTCAGGGCCTGATCTAATAGTTTTGGCTAAAACAATCTTATGTAAGAAAATGAGTGAATTTCTTTTATTTCTTGTATGTTGTTTGTTTTCAACTAAATTTTAAAATTTTCAACTCAACTATTAGTGAATTCTGTTTTCTGTCGTACCAGATGCTAGAAAATTCTAGATTTCCAGCGAAACAAATAGAGAATTATTTTATTTTATTTGTCGTGAGCTAATTCTCATCATTCTTTATTGAAATTAGAATAGTTAAAGCAAATTATGAACTATATGGACTTGTATTGGATTTCTATTTGTCAAAATTATTTATCCTCTGTTGTTCTGCGCTTTGTAGGGTTTGAAAAGGAAATGTTTACAAGGATGAATGAGAAACAGGCTATGGAAAGAGAAGCGTATCTTTGGTCTGTCTCAGATATGTGAAGTGTACACCAAAGAAAACGACACGAACTTTATTTTACTGCTTAGAAAGTGCAAGGTTGGTTCACAGAGTTGACCCTAAATATGTCTAGTGTGCTTGTCTGAGCTTCCTATATCTCTCTTATTGGGTAATTTTCAAATTTTTTGTGGAAATTGTGAATGTATTAGTCACGAGGATTAGTTTTGAGAATCGAATAACTTAGCTATGTGGTTGCCATCTCTTTTTTTTTATTAGCAATTCCGAAGTGAATACAATTGTGAGGATTTTCCGTTTTGGATTTTTTGTTTGTTTGGTGTCTTATTTGCTCTTTTTTATCTTGTCCTGGAAATAATGGATTCTGCATTTTTGCAACTTTTGAAGAGCTAAGGTCGACTTGAGAACAATGAGGATAGTTGATTTGCTTGTGTAGAGCCTTGTAATTGTTGGCAGCAGATGATCTCTGTCTGTCTGGGAGCAGAGGATCTCTGTCTCTGTCTCTCTCACACACACACACACATTATTCATCATAATATCAGAGTTCTCATCCAGACTTTCAAATAAGTTTTCAATTTTTTTATTTTTATTTTTTTGGTTACAGTAATCACTTGTGATGGCCATCTATTGAAACATGGTTTTGGCTTGGAATGAAGTATTTTTGAAGACTGCAGCAAAAAAAGGTTGCACGCAGGAAACCACTAGGGTTCTTTCAATATGAACTCGAGTGATGAGTGTCTGAGAATAGGATTCACCTGCTTTGAGGACTATTTGCGCTTTTTCCCTCCAGAAATGTACTCTGGAAGGTTTACTGCTATGCAAGTTGTCTGGTTATGTATCCTGGACATTTCTGGGCTATACTTTGTTAGAATCATCAGTAAGGTGCTGATCTTTATTAACTATTTAAAAATACTTGTAATAAGGATGTAAATTGAAGGAGTATGCACCTGCTGTAACGCCCTCAAAATAATAACATTAATCCCATCAAACAAGGCATGCATTTGCATATAAACTAACCACATTCCTTTATTCCTTAGAGTTTCATTACATAAGTATTACATGTTAACATCATAACAAAATGCCCTACAGGCTTACAGCTTTCCAAGTTAACACTTGGTTACAACAAAAGAGTACTAACTCGTTTACACATTAAGCCCTAGGCTTGAAGTTACATGTAATACATCAAAAGTTAAGCGACAAAAGTATGTCCGCCACTAGCCTCCCAGCTATGTCCTTGGAGGTGGCATGCTTCCTGCACCTGAAAATGATATTCCCATATAGGGTGAGCCACAACCCAGTAGAAATACACTAAACCAACCATGGACAATGACTAAAACATTAGCAATTGATAGTTGGTCAACACTGATACAATCACATAAATAACATATTTATGTCAACGACTTACAAGTCCCAATCTCTATTTGTTTTCAGTTTTTAGAATTCATTTTTCAAAAAATTTTACTTTTTTGTTTTTCATATTTTTTTGTTTTCACTGAATTTTTTTTAATATTTTAAGAATTTTTTTAATTTTTAGACACACCTAACATAAATACACTTAAAAAGTATAAAGTATATATCGACACACTATACTACATCCAGAATGGTAGGTGGTGTCATAAAGTTATGAGCATTTTGTCTGTTCATAATTTCTTGCTAGTTCTATTTAGTTAACATGTTGGCTTCACCTTCATTCATCTATCAATTATTCAATGCCGTCAATTTACTTTCTTGAAGTCCTAAACATTGGGTGTTCTACCTGGAGCTACTATTCTAGGTAATTGGTGCTTCTGGAGCTGTGAAGCATGAGGACCTTGTTGAGCAAGTGAAGAAGTTGTTTACCAAATTGTCATCGGATCCAACCACAACTTCTGAATTAGTTGCCAAAGGGCCAGCAATTTTTTCAGATTTTTTGTGTTAAAATCCTTTGGTTTTTTATTTTTTCTTATTTTTTCTTTTTTTCCTTGGATCTGACAGTGGGTGTTTTGGTTCACTTCTTATTTTTTGTATTAAATGGGGGAGTGGTGAGAGAGAGAGGAGGGTAATGTTATTTTGTGGCTTTGTATATAAGGTAGTAATTTTTTGATTGAGAATTGTGAATTCAATTTTTGAATATATTATTTTGTGGAAAAATTAATGCTATATTAAATTGAATGGGAAAGTGAATTAATACTATATTTGTTATTTGAATGGGAGTTATTATTTCATATTAGTGTTATTTAGTTTTATTATTGGTGTTCTTTTAGTTCAATCACATAAAATTAGTACAATTTCAAAACCAAAAAAAAAGAAGAAAGATAAGACGGCGTTTTTAAAATGCCACTATAACGGTTGGAATTTTTAAAATTTAAAAAACCTATGAAGGCGTTTTAAAAACGTCGCTAAAATCATAGTGACGTCACAGTATTGTTAGGGTAGGACATTTGGCGGCGTTTTTAAAAACGTCGCCTATACTAATATAGCGACGTTTTCCAAACGTCATAAAGTTATAGCGACGGTCGCGTCGTCGGCGTTTGGTACTAAACGTCACAAAAAGAATTAGCGACGTTTTGAATACTTATAGCGGCGTTTTTTAAACGCCGCTAAAAGCCTAATTTCCAGCAGTGAATGGTGATAGTATGCCATTATCATTAAAAAAATAAGAAGGAAAAAAAACTGAACTATGCAAACATGGATGAAAGGAGTGTCTTATCTAAAAACAATTTAACCTTTTATCTAGGTTTTCATTGCCTTTGTTTGGGAAGTTGAGATTGGGACTTTTTTTGGCTAAAATAAAACAAATTTTTTTATTTAATAAGACAAAATATTATATCAAATCTATAATTATTATATTATTTCTTTTACAAAAAGTCAAAAAAATCCTTTTCAAACAAGACTTTTTAGTCTCACGTTAAAATAGTCAAAAAACAAACCCATTTTCCAAACCAACCCAAATTATTTGAGAAATTCTCTACAGTAATTATTCTTTGTTATTTGATATTCTTCTAGGTGATTCAATTACATATATAAGTAAGGAAAAAAAAGAAGAAAAAGTCTTACATAGTTAGCTTGAACTTCCGCACAAATACTAGCCACATAACTAAGTCCATCATTTGACCATGATGAAATTCTTGTAAGTTCAGATTTTTCCAACCACATGCCTTGCCTAGAGACCATCTTTTAACAACTTCGAACTTGAAAGATTGTGACAAAAACATATATATATATATATATATAAGTGATGGTTCAAATCAACGAAGTAGGTCTCAAGATGAACCCATTAAAACTTAACATAATTTCTTTTCCAATTAGACATTAGAATACCTAATTGGAGAGAATTCATTCTCATTTACATATACATACATATAGATATACTATATTATATAACATATATAACCAAGTGTTGAAGCCACTATGCCATAGAGCTTGATGGTTTGGGTTGGGGGGGTTTGGTATGCTTCAGAAAGTATGGACAGATCATAGATACATACAACTATAATGATAAATAAGATATATAAATCTTTCTCTTTCAAAGATCATGTAATCTTTTTTATGTTTTCTCTCTCCTTGACTGTGCTTCTTGCAACATTCTCCATAATCATATTTAAATACTAAACCTTGTTGTTCTTTCTTACATAGAACCTACTTTTATGTTGTGTTTGGTTGGGGGATTTGGAATGTTGTGTTTGGTTGGGGGATTTGGAGAGGGAAATGGAAAGGGAAATGAAAAAGGTAGGTGAAATGTGAATAAATCATGCCTATATTTCACATAGTTTCACACGCCTTTTCCCTTTCCCTTTCCAAATCCCTCTCCAAATCCCCCAACCAAATACACCATTAATGGCATTTGATCAAGACCCAATTACAATGGACCACACATCTGTATACCTAGGTTTGCTTTTTATGTTATATTTATGTAACTAAAAGGAAAAATGTTTGATTATTATATAAACGCATTGTGATTGCTAAAGTGTCTTTTCTAAATGAGATGATACTAAGCATCTCTATGATTCTAGTAATGTTAAGAAAACAAAAATTAAACATAAAAAATATATTGATAAACAAGATTTATTGGTTGAATCTATTTTAAACCTTTTTTTTTTATTTGATTCTATAATTATTTTTTGTCTTATTAGATTTATTGAAATGATTCTAATGTGCCATTGATATGCGGCTCAAAGTGATTGGATTATGCTTCTTTAGATAGAAAGGAGCACAATCTTAAAGTTGAAGAATCTATTATGTAGTGCTACATTTCATCATACCCTAACTAATATTATATGTCAATAGTTAATCAACTATCTTATTCAAAATATAAATAATAAATTATTCATATCTTTGACAGTGCATTAACTTTATCAATCTAAAAAAAATAAATAGTGTATTTACTTTTAAATGAACTATTGGTTAACAATTCAACATTGTATGAGAATAGATAAAAGGTTATATGTTTGGTCTACTTATGGAAGTGAATCCAACCATATGCGCACACAAAACCCAAAAAAAAAAAAAAAAAAAAAAAAAAAAAGGTCCAAGTGGCACAATATGGGTGCTCGGACTAATTCCAGACTAGAGAGAAGCCATGTTCAAAATGATTAAAAAAATAAATAAATCACTCTCTT